GTGCAGGTGCAGCAGAGGGCAGAAAAAAGGACACGCAGATTTGGCGGCGTGCAAGTCTTCGGCAGGGTCTTGGGCTGTGTGTAACAGGAGAAACAAGGCTCTTTTGGCTGTTTTGAGAGAGGAATTGAGAGATTGATGGAGGGTTTAATTGTGAGATCTTATGTGATTGTAAACCCATTTGTATTCTCTTTCTCTAATAGTAGATCTCCTCCCTCCTTGCCCTGTAGACGTAGGCAATTTGCCGAACCACGTTAAAATTGATTATTTGTGCCGTGATTTGTAATAGAGAGTTTAAGTTCCCTCGATAGGTCAGTCCTAGAACTGATGAGAGGAAGAGCTGATATCCTACTTTGTTGAGATATTTTGCTTTCGGTTCTTATTTCCTTTGTGAAACAATGATTTAGTTGAGATCTACTTTCTTGTCGAGCATCAGAGTTGCTGTCGGAATTTCCGTTGCGCACAACAGATAAATGGTAAACATTTGATTTGACCATAATAGACATAATGAAATGTTTTTACGTCATATGCTGTCTCTGATTAAGAAGTTTAAATAGGTTTTGTGTAATATGGACTTTATGGCGAAGGAACTTGGATAATACCACTATTCTCATTGCATTTGGCCTCAGGGTCTACTGGCCTTCACCAATCTATGAAACTCGTGCCATCTCAGAACGCCCTCATGCGAGCATGGTGTTTGCAAGCATTGAGAATGCCATGCTCGCATGCAGGGCGTTTTGAGGTGAATCTTACTCCAATTTTTGGTCATGCCTAGTCTAATCTTCTTGGATAATTCTATAACCAATCTCTCTTTTTCACTTAACTTTCACATACTGGCGTACATAGCAAACACTTAAACTATAAATTTTCCTTTTTTTTTCTTTCTTTTATATTAGCTTCTGGCATTGAACCACGCAAAACTAATGCGAACCATTTGGATATACATCTAGATAATTTATATCAGTGAGATACATGCTTATTATTCATCTAGGACTATTCTTTCTATTTGAATGAAAAAAAGGTATAACAATAATGCTGTCACAAGTTGCTTAATCAATCTATTCCAGGAGCTAATACCCTGAATACCATATTATTATTGACTTTTTTATACGAAGTATATGTTCCACTAATCAAGGATTGTGCCCTTTAAATGGAGAATTCAGAATGAAGGCTTCATTCTAGTTGTAGTAGGAAAATGGTTCCATTTTTCTTTTTATTCTGTATTGTTCCTTGAAGATGATGACAATTCCAGATAACCAATCCTTTTTGTTCTCTATCTTGTGTTTTTCCCAGTTCACTGTGCTTAACCTCAATGAGATTCGTTTGCAATCATTATTATATTTAGCATTTCGTTACAATCATACAGTGTTCTGGTTATGCATGAGTACATTGTATTGACTATAGATTTGAGATAATCATTGGTATAATGTGGCATGCTCCAATATGCTTGTTATAACAGCTTAAGTCCTTGTTCTATCTTACATCCCACGAAAGTACATAATAATGATAAGTGTTGTATCATTTGGAATCCCTGAACCCAGGCAACCTTGCTATTATATTGTGAGTGTGTTGGATCTGTCTGTTTCACAGTAATATGACAATTATATAATTCCCGTACAATAACCATGTAATAGAAAGAATCCAAAGATTCCAACACTCCCAAGCATGGGTCATTACTTGGGCTTCCTGCATGTTCAAGCATAGGGGCCATGAATTGCAAAAAACGGAAAAGAGATTCGTTTTCTTTTTCCTGTGTAAGTATACAAAAAAACGGAAAAATAGTAAAATATTGGAATACTTGAGAGATGCAGGGAACTACATGGTAATAAAGTTCAGTCCAAATGTAATTTGGAATCCTAACATTCTGGTTCCCGTGTTTTTATGTGAAAGTATTGCAGAAAAGGACACTCGAAGTTTTCCTACAAGACAGGATTATGGAGAAGCAAAAAGAACTGCTAGAATACTTTTGGGATTGCACAGACTTAGATGTTAATTATGTCAACACCAAAATTTTACTAAAAGATATTGCAAGTTAAGAATTGTACTGCTTTGGTTCAGCTGAAGTCCTACACATCAGAATATATGCGTTCACACACACTGTATGTGTGCGCATGTATTGTGTGTGTCAAAGTGTGATAGTAGCTATCATCCAGTTCTGGAACAAAAGCCTTAATAATAGAAAATCAAGTAGTTAGGGATACATATTTTACTAATACAAAATATGTAGATGATCAACTGTATGTTTATTTCTCATAAATTGAGATATGAAACCATTAGTCATAATTAATCGTATTTATTATGCAAAAGTCAAATCTATTGCTATTGATTTTCCTAGGTTGTTGATCAATCACGTTTTTGTTGAGATTATCAATTATGAGAATGATTTTGTTTGTGTATCTGTAGATATAACGCATGATTAATGGTGTAGATAACTGGAACTGCAGTTGGTTTTGATACATAGAATTAGTAGCAAATTGATCCAAATAATCTCGTGAACTAGTGCCTTTTTTGGAAGCTAACAGATTCTGGCAATGCCTGTGACCCTACTCAACCTGGAATCGACCCTCAAGTCTTTCTGAAATAGAGGTTATGGGGGTGCGGCAATCATGTAGTCTGAGTTCGTTTTATAACCAAAAAAAAAAAAAAATGAATACTGGTCCACTAGTCTTTGTTGTCCCATTAAATATGTGCTGTGGATTACGGCTAGGAATAACTTATAAGAAATAGATCTAAGGAGATTGACCAGGTAAAATATGAAATAGTGCATTAGACGCCGTTTTCCTTACGACACATTATAATTCAAAGGGTTTCTTTCCAGTGTATCGTACTCATACTTCCCAGCTCTTTGTTTAATAATAGGATTTAGAGAAGCTTGGAACTCTATTATATATGCTATTTTGTGGGGCTATACTTCTAGAAGGAAATAATGAAATTTCTTATGTAAGAGGCATTCATTCTATCTCATGTTTTTGTTACTATCTATAAGTGCCTAATAATGTGTCAGGCTTTGGTTCTCTAAATCTTAGTTCTTGTTATTTTAAATCACTTACAAATTTCCAGGTGATGTGGAAGAAAAGATAAATCAGAATTTGCTTGTCAGCGTTACCTTGGATACCTATCTTTCTTCCCTATTGTATTTCATACATAATAAATGCATGCTTTCATTTGGGTTTTGGTCCAGACTTGGCCATACTTTGTGGAGCCTAGTGCCTTGTATTTGGAGTGTTGGGTTACTTTCAAACAGCAATTAGGTAGTTGTATGAGCTTGTTTATTTTATACATGTCATATAGGAGTTGTTTTGACTTTCACTTTAAAGAAAACACAAATCACGTATCCAATATATTTGATTTACTTTTCTTTGGCATGGATTGCCTAGTGCTTGATGTACTTGTCAAGAGCGATATAACTCGTTGTGGTGGAACTGATTTTTTCCATTTAGCAAGACATGCTGGGTGATTGAATAGTCGGCACCACCTGTGGTTTGTTCATCCTAAGCTTTTCGAGTGCTAACATCACGTTTTGGATAATGATGGACACTGAGAGCTTGATTTGGCTTTCGCTGAAGTGATATTTCTTGGCTGTTTATGTTAGTTCAGGCAGGGCCCAATCAGGTTGGCTGGTTCAAAGTCATTTTGGGAGTCAGGTTAACTAGGTCAAGATCATGTATATTTATTATGGTTTTCTATATGTTTGGTTTAATTAGATAGCATGGTTCAATTTGCATTAAACTATTTAGGTCCAAAGAACTGACAATGCGAGTGGGGTTGCTTTTTTCTTGAAGTTATGGTGAGAGTTGAAGATTATTGTTTTATATCCTAATACGCCCTCGTAGGTTGAGCGTACCTTTTTATGGGCTAAAACCTAGACTGACATAGTGGCATCGAATTTTCTAAATCCAGATTTAATTCGTGGTCAACAAGATTAGAACCTGAGTTACTCTGATACCATCTTATATTAAGTCACTCTAACCATTACACCCAAACTCTAAAGTTTTGGAGAGGGTTGAATATTTTTTATTTTCTTGAGGAATATGAAACGATTCTATTCAGCGGCATCGATAATAATCTGGTTATAGATACAACCATGACCTTCAAGAGAGTCCGAGAAGAAGGTTCATTTATATCTGCAAGTAAAAGAAGCTAAATCATGTGCACAAATGTTGCTTGCGCATCAGAGATGCAGAACGAGAGGAAGAGTTGAACTCTTTAAGAGAAACCAGCAATCATCAAAGAGACTAGAAAGATGCGGAGGATAACCAATTTCTCCATGAAACATTAGCACTAGGGGAAGACAGTCAGATTCTAGCAAGATATCTATTCAACACATAGATAAGGCAAGATGCAATCTGGTCAAAAAGGCCAGGGCTTCAAACTCGAGAGGAGACGAAGGTGGACCAAAGGTGCTGAAGGAGTGGAGATGATGACCAAAGATGCCGAAGGTGGACCAATTGTTTTATACTCTAGCACTTTTTATCTATCACTATGTTTAGGAATTAACTGACTAGTACTTAAAATTGGAGACTGATGATGCTCCTATGGAGCTGATAAAATAGGAAGACAATTGAGAAACGAACTACTTTAATGAGCACCGAAGACAGAAAAACTAATAATATAGGCCAGTGATTTGAGGAAATGATCTAATGATGTGGCTAACCATACCTTGTACAAGACATAGATTTGCTGACCCCGTGGTTTAACTACTTGTTTCATCTGAAAATCTCATATTTAAATTTGTTATTGGCGTGCCAGTAACGGATTGTTTGCTTGTAGGAATCATGTATGAAAGGATATTATATTTCTTTACATACTTGCTTATATTTTCCATATATATAATCTGATGTTGACAGGCTAGATAGTTTTTACATGTCATTGTCTTAACATCACATTTCAGCCAATCTTAAGCAATCAGATGGACTGTTGTTATTTTTATTATGAGATGTGTGGTTAGTTCCGGACTTTGCATACTTCCTCTTCATTACTTTTATAGCCTCAGCCTCTCTTGATTGATCTGTACTCGGGCATGTAGTATTAATAATTATTTCTACAATTTTTTACAATATTTTCTTTTTACTCCAAAAAACGTAACTGTCATAAAGAAAATCCTGTCTTTTGGAAAATTCTCTGCCCAGGTGCTAGAATTGCCAGCGGATCATAGGCTTGTTTCCTCTGTTGAAATTCTTCCCATCTCGCTCCGAAGTGGTGTTTCCACTCTTCTTGAGTATTGTAGTGAGCCAAATACTGCTTCATCCCGATTCTTGCTTTCTTACAGAAGTCTAAAATTCTCTGGTTCTGTTTGAGGGCACGATCCAAATTGTCATGGCCTGATGAAGATGGTGCCGATGTAAGTAGACCAACCAAGTAGAATACCTCCTCATCTGGAAGTACTACCGATGTTCTATTATCCCATCTGCACTCAAAAACATTAGTCAAAATGGTCAGGATTTAGGACATTTGGCATCCAATAACATGTAGTAGCGGTGGTGAGTATTTACTTGGATTTATGTACTGGGTACATGAGTATGGGACCAGTGCTGCTGTCTGTAAGAATTTTCCCAAAGACCTCTTTGGCAAAGTCTTGGATTTTACTTCTTGGAATAAGAAGATTTAACCAAGGGTGTGGCACTTCCCACAGTCCTTTTGATCTCAACTGCATTTCAGATATATGCACTCTGTCCAAGAATTCAACGTACGAGACCTTGGATTTGAACAGGGTAGATGGTATGAATCGAAGCCGAGATAGAAGCGCATTAATTTCCTGCCAACCAAAAATTCAGTGTTGAAATCTAACTTTTATATTTTCTACTTCATGCATCAGACTCACATATGTTTTCAAGGTGAAAATACCTGGTCTGCTAGCTCTGACTCATCTGAATTGAAGTTTTTGGTCATCTCAAGGCAGAACAGAATTCTCCCATCGGATTTAAACTGACTCGCTTGAACAGGGTCCTGTGGGTTGAATGAAGATCTCCAGTTGTTCAGAATTCCTGTTCTGTTTATTATCACGAATCCCTCAATGTAATCAAAAGTATTTTCTGCTGATATCATCATCTCCTGGTCCTCTGTAAAGGTGGTTATATCCGAGTACAGAACTCTGATCCACTTTACCTGCAAATAGAGTAAAAGATACCAAGTTCATGAGTTCCAAACTCTGCAACCTACTACTTTTGCAACCAAAATAGAATGTCCTATGTCACCATTTTCGGTGCAGGTTCAAGTGCAATTTTAGCTTTGGTGATGATTCCAAACTGTCCAAGACCTCCAAGGACGCCAAAGAAGAGGTCAGCATTCTCTGTTTTTGAACAGTTAACCACCTCTCCTTTTCCTGCAGGCAAAAATGAAACTTGATCAGATTATTGAAAAAGCTAAAGGTAAGTCTTATGAGATAATTAATTACCTGTCACTACTTCCAGCTGGTAAACATTACTGATTTGTGGTCCGTGTCTGAATGCTTGTCCACTGACTCCTGCATTGGATAACGTGCCGCCAATTGTCAGATGAAGATAATCGGTCCACGATTTAGGTGCGAGACCATGCTTGAGGCTCTCGTTCAGAATATTAATCCACAGTGCACCACCCGATGCTTCGACATAAGGGATCTCTCCATTGTGGACACGTGTTTCCTGTCCCCGAAAGGATTCCATTTGGATTATGATGCCCTCCAGTGCCTGTGCCTGGCCCTGGAGAGAGTGCCCACGGCCTCTGGCTGCAATTGTGAGGTTCGAGTATGGACCCAATTCAAAGACATGCCTTATTGTTTTGGCAATGTCAGAGACTGAGTTAGGCTGGAGAATTGCGGAAGGAAGGAATTGATACCGATTACCAAAGTCCTTTGCAGCATGAGAGATATTATGGAAACTGAAGGAACCATCGATGGATAGAGTTTGGAGAGAAGATGGTGTGTCGATATCTGAGGAGTGCATGGTGACACTGCTTAGTAGTAGAAACATGAAGAGCTTGGAGACATTTGTGGGTGATGTTTTCATGGTGTTGATGGGTAAATTCTGAGGTTAAAGGTGTTGGTGAAAAGATGAGTAGAGCAAATGAAAGGGGGAGGGAGGGAGATTTAAAGAGGAGGGAGGTGGTGACATAGTCAACCAAACCCTGTAGTGAGATTGAGAATCCGTGAGAGGACTGGCTACTACTAACCTAGGTAGAAATGGAAGTGTTCAATGACTTTTCATATATGCCTGTACTTCCCTCTCATGCTTTTTTGGCTTACTGTTCTGAGGAAGAAAGGTGCTGGGTTTAAAAAAAAAAGGTTCCCATATCACAAAAGCTTCAATCTTCCTTCAAGTGCATTGCCACCTTTCTTCACCAAGAGCCAATACATTCTAGAAAATTACACTGTGGATCCCCACCAATTTGCTAGTGAGGTGCCTTTTGAGAAGTCAGGCTTTTACTTGCACAGTTCCTCCCTCTCCGAGAGCAATCTAGGGGGTGGCCCTGGTTGCCCGTTGCGATCCGGTGGGGCCAACGTCACGTGGTCAGGGATAACGGTGGGCCCGGAGCTCGAGCCAGGGGTGAGGGGGCCTGGGTCTGTAAGTGAAGGGGAGTGGGCTGCAGAGGAATGATATGTTTGAAAAGAGAAGCAGTACTCTCCCCTTTTGGGTGTTGAAACTTGGAGCCTTACTTCCCGGAATTGGAACAAGCTTCAATAAACAAAAGCATTTGCTCAAGTTCTTGTTGAGGGAGTGATGATTTGGTGTATGACTGGATTGAGTCTGATGAGCTACATGCTATAGAACCAACCCTATGATGAGGCCAGAATGTCTTCAGTCTATGCTCAGTCGTGTTGGTGAATTGAAGTGCCTAAGTTTTTCTGAACGTATATCCGACCGATGTAGTATTATTGATCGAGATAGCAATCTCCTCCACGAAGAAGAACTATAATCGATGTATATAGATCATGTGCGTTATCTATTGTATGTATGAATTTTTGATGATATTATATGTTGTGATTTCGTTGTACACAAACTCTTCTGTACTGTTGTATTCAATTGGTTTTCCTGTATGTTTCAGGGTTCTTACAGGTATCTGTTTTGTTTAGGGCGTGATATTACTGAAGTGGCAATTGTAGCCTAGCGTAATCCAGGATTATAATAAACTTGTTGATGCTTCCACTTTTGTAAACTATGGGCAGCAATTGGCCTAACATCCATTTGTATGCAAGGAGCCAAACTTCTCTCCTCCACTAGTTATTGCACAACTTAATCATAATGGAAAGTTTTGCTGTTTTATTTGTGTATGCTCCCATGACAACAAAGGCAGTGTGAATTTGACATAAAGAATTTTGAGAACGTAAGTTCATTATTGGCACGAGTAAGCGTTGGCCTGATGCCCACAGAATTGACGAGGAGTCAAAATGTGCAGCTCAGTCTCCTCATTGACCACCTAATATAAGATTCAAAGAAAACTCCTTTTTTTTAAGGAGCGAGAAAACGTGTCCTTCTCATTAACAATTTAGCCCATTCTTGCACATGCAGATTGCTGAGAACCTACAGTTGTAGAGTTATACAAGCAACCTCCCCCTCCCTTTTTGTTAGGTGCACATCTCTTCTTGCATTCAGATGGGGAAGAGGAAGAAGCAGCAGCTTAAGATTTTTGCGTATCCATTTGATGGAAACACCTTATGATAAACTTACATTTCTTTTGACTTGTGTCACCTGCGATCGGACCTAAACTTTGTGGAAGTGTAGTGTTTTATATTATCTCTCCTCGTAAATAATATGGTCATATATATATATATAATATATATAAAATAAATATATATATTATATATACACATATGTTGTGCATAATGCTAGGAGGATACTGTGCCGTGTAGGTTACACGTAGGTCTGTAGGTTTGGTCTGCGTCAAAATCTTAGGCTTGAATAGTTGATCAAATTAACCGCCTTTGTCAAGGCCGGGAGGAGGGATCAGATAATACTGCTAAACCTGGCATCTTTGATCTCAAAAATTTGGATTGATCCACAAGTTTAGTTAAATATCTCATACATGGAAGTTCCTCTTTCTTAAATATTTCGACTCACTTTTACCTTGGCTAGCTTATATATTAGCTAGAACTCACGACGAACGTAAAGGTACGTAGATATCGGTGTAGTCCATTCCGTTGCCTGCTCGTGCGTGCGTAGTCTATAATATTACGCGTCCGTGATTCCGTGTACAGTACTTCCTAGGTGGGATAATATTCCAAACATTTTGCTATAGGTGCTTACATTTTGCTATATACGCCATCAAGTTAAGGAATATTCAAGGAAAGGTCAGCTAGCTAGAGATCGTAAGTTGAGGGTAAAGATCAAGTTGGTATAAAGGATGGCCATGCTGAATCCAAGTGTTGGGATAGAAGAGTTTCTCGAAGGGAATGATCACTGCATTGAAGGGCATGCATGGATATGCACACCGTCTCATTGAAAGTTTGATCCAATTTGGCAAATATCTTATTTGCGATATATGACCCTTAAATCTGTTGGTACTAAATATAGCATAAACGCTACTCTCTTCAGCCGACACGGGGCGATGATCATACTAGTTATGAACAAGATACTGCATTACCGTTCTTGTAACCTCATGCTAAACATAATCATGCCACTAAGAATATAACCATCTTTTTTTGCCTAGGGGATGTTGGTTGTTGTTGGGGGAGTAGGGGAAGACGAAAGCCGAGTTTCTCCAGTTTCACACGCTCGCTTCTCAATGCGCTTTGAGAAAAATGGAGCCCATCTCTATAAATTGGTAATGTGCAGTTTTGGGTGTTTCACTAGTGGGTGTACACAGCTCTGCATGCTCTACAAAACTAGGGTTCTTCATTTTATCAATGTCTCTCCCATGTCTCTTTGCCCTAACTATTCCAAACATTTTCATCACTCCCCCCATATTGTCTCTTAAGCATAATGGACGCCCTAGATTCTAGCTACTTAGGTGACTACGATTTAATGTTCCTCTGTCTTTTCATTTTGGAGGGGCCAATGAAAAGATAAGAATTAGTTCCATTCACCTAACATGGATCAGTGTTAGAATCTTCAGGAAATATTTGTGAAAAAGAAAATTGTTGCATTTTATGCCATTACTGTAACCATGTCAAAAGACATAGGAAGAGATATCTGGTTATGCCATACTTTTCATCACTATAGATGAAGTAATAAAAGGAGACACAAATATGGAAGCCAATAACAACTAGATTGACTATAGTTGCGAGCCTGTAAGGGATGGTTGATCCATAAATGGAAATAAGAAAGTAAGAAAATATTAAAAATATCATATATACACAATATTTTCACCTATAAAAGTGTCATTTTATTTACAAAGAATTAAACAATAGTGTGACAAATCATGATACATATTTGTGTCATTAGATACACAATTAAATGTAAGTAGGAAATGCTAATAGGTCAACATGAATTGTGAGAGGATATATTGTTGGTCTTAAATAACAAATCTTAGATAGTAATTATGATGATTAAATACTTATGATAGTGTATAAGCTAAAAAACTCTATTGTTTGTTGGGGATTCGAAACAATCAAATTGAACCATTAACCTTCCAGACCTTGTGTTTGAGAGTAGAAAGTAGGAAAAATCACAGCAAATAAAAGATAAAAACTTGCAGGAAAGTAAACAAGAAAGAATACACCAGATTTAACGATGTTTGGCAATCTTGCCTACGTCCTCGGAAGCCACACCATACAATTCTTTGATTAAAATTGAAGAAGATTACAATGTCCACAAATAGGATCTAATCTCTTTGAGATCTCTCTAAAGAATTCTCTCAAAATCCTCTTTTTTTTTACGTCTAATCTCTTCTAAGGCTTTCCATATATATAGAAAACCTAAAATCAAAACAGATTAGAAATTCTAAAACCAAAAAACAAAACAGATTAGGAATCCTAATAACCTGTTACCAAAACAGATTAAGAATCCTATTATCAAAACAAAATAAGAATCCCGTTACCAAAACAGATTAGGAAACATGCTATCCAATAATTTATTTGATTCCAACTTTGAGTCTACATCCATTAGACTAACAATCTCCCACTTGGAGACCAAAACACAATCAACAAGCTCACCTGAACTCTCTCTTCTTCGTAAGCATCCTCCTACACGGAAAAAAAATCCATTCTCCTGGTGTGACTCCGCCTTCATCTCCTACACGTGAAGACCAACTAAAGTTGCGCACAACTCCAGTTTTTCAATGGTCACTAATTTTGTCAACATATCCGTAAGATTTTGACTCCCCAAAATCTTCTTTAGATGTAACTTCCCGTTCTCAATCAGCGAGCGTATAAAATAATATCGTACGTCGATGTGCTTCGTTCTGACATGGTATACTAGATTATTGGCAAGATGTATAACACTCTGGCTGTCACAATAAAGAACTCCTCTCCCTTGCTTCAGATCCAATTCTTCTAGGCACCTGTTCAACCAAATCATCTCTTTGCTTGCTTCAGTCATCACGACATACTCAACTTTAGTTGTAGACAAAGTTATAATCTTCTGCAGATATAAAACCTAACTCACTGCTGTCGATGCCAATGTATAAACATACTTCGTGGTGCTTTGCCTCGTATCATGATCATCGGTGAAGTCCGCATCCACGTATCCCTGTAGTATCAACTCCTTCCTTCTGAAACATAGTGGCTTGTCCATAGTCCCTCTCAAGTAGTGCATTATCCACTTTACGATCTCACAATGCTGCTTCCCTGGATTGCTTGCAAACCTGCTTATAACTCCTACTGTATGGGCAATGTCAGGTCTTGTGCAAACCATCGCGTACATGAGACTCCCAATGGCCAAAGAATATGGCACCCTACTCATATGATCTCTATCTGCATCTTTCTTAGGAGATTGCTCTTCAGATATCTTGAATTGCCTTCCAAGGGGCGTTCTAACAACCTTGGCATTCTGCATGTTGAATCTCTGAAGTACCTTCTTGATGTATTCAGCTTGACTCAACCTCAACGTCCCTTAAACTTTATCTCTACTGATTCGCATTACTAGAATATGCTTTGTTGTACCCAGATCTTTCATAGCAAACTTCTTTGCCAACTGCTTTTTTAAGTTGTTTATCTCCTCTAAACTCGGTCCTGTAACTAACATATCATCAACATACAATAACAATATGATAATACTAAACTTGAATCTCTTGAAGTAGCAACAATGATCTGGATTGCATCTTCTGTAGCTATTGTTCTGTAAGAAGTTGTCGAACTTCTTGTACCACTGTCTCGGGGCCTGTTTTAATTCGTACAATCTCTTCTTAAGCTTACACACCATCTCTTCCTTTCCTTCCTTAATGAAGCCAACATGTTGCTTCATGTAGATTTGTTTATCCAAGTCACCATGAAGAAAGGCAGTCTTCGCATCTAACTGCTTAAGGTAGAGATCTTCTGTAGCTACAAAGGTCAACACCACTCTGATGGTGGTGAACTTCACAACAAGAGAAAATATCTCCGTATAGTCCACTCATTCTCACTGTTGAAACCCCTTCACGACTAATCTGTCCTTATGTCTCTTGCTTTCATTACTCTTCTGCTTGACCCGATAGATCCATTTGTTATGCAAGGCTTTCTTCTATGTAGGTAGCTGGACTAACTCCCATGTCTCATCAGTGTGTAGAGAATCCATCTACTTTTGCATCGCATGCTCCCACTGCTGAGATTCACTCACTTGCATAGCCTCCTCATAGCACTCCGGTTCTCCACTATCTGTCAAAAGTAAATAATCAAGTGATGAGAGATATCTGAGATTTAGTTTGGGTATCCTGGATGACCTCCTAAGCTCCACGCCCTGGGTAGTCGTCTCTGCACCTGGAGCCTCCTCCGTACTTCGGTCAGAATTGACTTTGTTGCTCCCATCTAGAAGTTTCTACAAATCAATGTACTCGGATCCACCTGTATCCGTAGTGCTGCTCTCACTGCTTTGGCTATCATTGGAACTATCACTGTTCTTATACATCATCTCCTTATTGAATATCACATCCCTGCTTCTGATGATCTTCTTGTTCT